CCGATTACATGATCCGTTCATTGAAACCTCCCAAAATATGAATATTGATATTATACAGTGGCTACCGAGCTTATTACAGAATTGTCAATCGTATTATGCTACCAGAAAAACATGATGAGACTGAAAATTATTTATTGTTTCTGAAAGGGCATTTTGATGTTATTTTCTGTTTGAGACACTCGCATGTTTTCTGACTTGTCCCCAATAAAAACGATCGTGGTTAAGTGTTATTACTCACTAATCTAGCGACTCATTCCCCGCTAATTTTTTTTTACAGAGACAGCAGTTGACACATGCGAGGATTTCGTTAATTAGAGCGCACAAGTTGATATTTCTCGGTGAGCCTCGCACTTGTTCGCGTGGGCAGAGATTTTATTTATTGTTGTGGTCTTTTCATTGAACTCTTAGAGTCTCTCCATAGTCATTATTTTAGTGTCATGAGTATTCTTTTGTTATTATAGTCTTATGTTGAGTATCGTTCTCATTTATCAAAGTTGGAGATAAATTAGTATTTCTAGTGGTTAGTTGGTGGTTTAGTTATGGTAGAGACTTGTATTGGTTAATTGACAAGTTGTCAATTGTTTGGTATGATATTAGGATGTTTGATTGTTGATTTGAGACAGGAAAATTTTTGGGATGGTCCAAAAACAGGGGAAACTCTGTCCGATTTTCTGTAAAGTTACCGATGAGGCTTACTTAGGAGCACTTGCTTCTAAGCGCCGGTCACAATCCTAAATTGGGTCGTGACAAAGTTACAAGTTGGTATCAGAGCGCTAGGTTATTCCTGTGACTAATGGAGCACACGTTAGTAGTAGAATCTCAATTATGGTTATGTAGCCGGCAATTCCCATAATCGTGATTCTGCGAGGGCGTGATAGGATGTGTCTTGTTTTTCTTTCTTATTCCTCCTTACGTGTGTGGCGATTAGATCCAGATAACTCAATATGTCACCTTTTACCTTGTTCCGATTTAGCTAGGACCAATCATCCAATAATAGAATTTGACTAGAGGTTCAAAGATACAATTGCTGCCACTGGGCACGCAATCGTCTTCCAACAAAGGAAAGCGATAGAAGTAGTAGATAGGCCAATAGAAAGGGCTGTTTTGCCACAATGAGAGGCTTTTATACTGTTAAGACATGTAATTAAGCCCATTTCTAAAATTAGCACTAGTCAGCTGCTATTATAACAATAGAATAGAGTCGTCACAAAGGTACTTACCTCCGTGGAAAAAGAGAAATTTGAGATCATGATGGATATAATGAATAGATAAGAGAGGAATAAAATAGAAAATAGGGCTCTAGAGGCCTTGGGTGCCTAAATTGACTAAAATTTTCAAGAGCAGAGATGTTTCCTTAATAGAGTTCCTAACATTGAAACCACTAAGTTTACAATTTCTGAGAGTTCGGAAGATCCTCAGAGGGTCTCAACGAGAAAGAAAAAAAAAACCTACATCATTACGAGCTCTAGGATGTTTTAGTAAGAGGTGCGTGGCGCTAATAACTTACAGACTGGAGAACATGGCCAATACATGATATGATAACGTACCGCTGGAAACACTGATAAGAGCAATACAACTGACTTGGAAACGAGTTCACTAAACTGTTTATGAATTGCTTCCTTCTTGGCTGTCGAAAGCGTGAACTTTCTAGGTAGTTTAAGAAAATAACTCAAACATAAATATACCAACATATGATGCCAAGTTTCATCAGCTAGTTAGACACACAACATTTCAATTTTATATGTAGGCGGTAACCCTACATACGAGGACTTTGACCTATTCTGTGGCAATTGAACTTGCTAGAAAGACAGAACACATGGATGCCATAGGCATACAACCGAGGATTCACACAAGAAGGACGAAGTTATGGAATCTTTAATTGGGATTTTAATACGAGACAAAGAGTTAGAAATTAAGGACATTTTATAATATAGAGTTTTTTTTTTTTGGTTGCTACTTCTGTAGAAGAACCTCTGATAGTTGAATATGTATACCAAGCTAATTAAACTCAAGGTTTTGGTGTAACATTATTAATCTGACTGTAAGCCGGGCTCTATGAGTTTGTATGGGTATTCTAAATACATGTAATCATTCCGAAGATGCTGACAAAGTAAAACATTCTTTCCATATCGTATGAAGTGAACCATTGACTAAGCCATATAGTTGTGAGTTTGATATTCTAGATCGAACAACATTTATTAGAGAGGTGGAAAATCTTATAAACTTGTAATGGACAGTGATGTCGTAAGTTATGGTTCCTACTGTAGTTCAATACAAGTGAATGTGGAAGCTTGTTAGTTTGCATCTAATTGAAGGTTACATTTGATCAATTCCACTAAGTTGATACTTTATCTGTGATATCCTTGCTTTGCCTGATCCTTAAGAAGAGAACTTGTTCCTGTCTCTAATTAAACTTATACTGAACCCACGCAAAATTCTGGATACAGAAAAAAAAAAGCTTCCTTCAAATTGTAGCTTTGGACTTGGGTTTGAAAGAAAACTAACTGTAGGATAATGATATTTGGTAAGAAAATATACCTAAATTTACCTCGCGATGCATATGTTGGTAATTTTGAGAACATATTGAATAATAGTCAGAAATAATAAAATAATAAGTGGAATGCACAATTCTCATGAACTTTTTGTTTCAGACCTAGGACTTGTTTAATTATTACCAAGATATCCCAAAAAAAAGGGCAGAAGAAGTAAGGATGCATTTTTCACATATATATGTGTACTATATTCTTAGAAGTTTAACAGAGACCAATGAACAAACTTTACTAACATGATTGTCATTCCATTAAATAATAGACTGCACATATACAAATCTAGCACATCATTTGTAATCTTACATTTGTGTTTGTCTACTTTTACAATGTAGATAGAGCATAGATAAGGGAGATGTTGGTACTTGCTAGTGAAAGCAATCAGTATGAAAGAGGTTTTGTTCAAAGTTAGGAGTTGGGTGAGAAAATCCAAAAATAAAAAAATAAAAAAAAATGTACCTTTGATTTATATTAGTGAATTTATTAATTAGCTTTATTTCACAATCTCCTAATCCGTAGTCATTCTGCTTGGTTCCGCAATAAATATATCCTTTGTAACTCCTCTACTTAAACATTGATTCTTAATGCAAGTCCTTGTTCGAGCTGAAGGTAGGTTGGAGATAGCCAATTAACCTAGTCTTGTGCTACAAGGGGCTCAGGTTCCGGAGACGGACAAAGTTATATCATTTTTGAAGGCTTGGTGGTGAGTGAAGAAAAGTTATAGGGGTTTCTTAGTTACAGTAAAGGACACAATAGATGAGATACATAATTTGAAAATGTAAACTCACTGATGTATTTCCTAAGGATTTATACGGACTAACCCTTAACGAGAAACACAGTTATGTATTGACTTTGCACTTGACCCACAGTCAATTTTAATATTCCCCAAATCATATGCACCAACGAAGTTAAAGGACAGTCGCTGGATCTGCTTTAGAGGAGATTCTATAAGAAATTCTATTGGACTGCATATATCACCATGGGATGCACCAGTACTAATTGCGATAAAGAAAAATAAGTCTCTAAGGATTTGCACAAACTCGAGCCACGATAATTAAATTTTGTACGTGTAATTCACAGACATTGTTGGATAGTGGTTAAGACAAATCTTCATTGGTAAACGCATCAAGGTCGTTCAATATAAGAATAAACGATTATACAAATACCAAGGAGAGGTCCTAGCAATTAAAAGTCAAGGATATAAATGTTGACAATGATCACGTTCTTTGATTAGGAACAGTTAAGTGTTCAAACGTAGATGGGTTGAGATATACTATTCTTGAGAAAGCGCACAACTGCGAATACACAATACATCTTGTGTATCCATTAAAATGTAGCATATAAATCAATTTTATTGGTGAAAAGGTATGGAAAAAAAAATTATTATTAACTTTATCTCTAATTATTTGACTTGTCAACTGGTCGAGGATGAGCATCAACGACATGTAGGCCTACTAAAATAGAAATTTCAGAGTAAAGATGGGAAAAAATTGCTATGAATTTTGTTACCAGGCCACCATAAAGTGTTAGGGTTATGACTTGTATAGGTAATTGTAGATCGACTGGCAAAAGCAATACACCTGTTACTGGTAAGGACTACATACAGTAAAGTGAGTGTGGACAGGTATTTATAAGTGAAATTCTCAACTTCATGGAGTTCCAATATCTAGCATCTCTAATAGAAGATCACAACTCACTTATGCTTTTAAAAATCTTTTCAAGAAGCATTGGGTATGCAAGTAGTTTAGTACCACATTTCATCCGTAGTCAGATGGGAAATTTTAACGTACTATAGAGATCTTTGAAGATATGTTAAGAGCTTGTATTCTTGAGTTTGTAGGTAGTTGAAACATGTATCTACCTTTAGCTAAATTTGCTTACAACAATAACTTCCAGTCCAATATTCAAATGGCAGCGTATGAAGCATTATATGGTAGAAGATGTCGTTCTCCTATTGGATGGGAAGCTGGTGAGATTAGCTTATTGGGACCTGACTTAGTACAAGAAGCTATTGACGAGGTCCAGTTGATCAGACAGAGATTACTCACAACTCAAAGTAGAAAAAAGTCTTATGCAGAAAAGAGAAGAAGAGATTTAGTGTTCACAATTGGGGACAAGGTGTTCCTACGAGTCTCCCCTATGAAAGGCGTGATGCGGTTTGGGAAAAGAGGTAAGTTGAGCCCCACGTTTATAGCACCGTATGAGATACTAGACTGAGTGGGAGCTGTGGCTTATCGTTTGACGCTTTCTCTTGAGTTATCTTTTATTCATCCAGTATTTCATGTCTCTATGCTAAGAAAATGTATATCAGACTCATCTCCGGTGCTTGAAGTACCTACTATACCCCTTGATAAAAAGTTGTATTACGAGGAGGAGCCGATGACTATTGTTGATAGATAAGTAAAGAAAGCTACGATCAAAAGAAATTGTATTTATGAAAGTCTTATGGAGAAATCATAGTGTTGAAGAAGCTACATGAAAAATAGAAGACGTTATGCGAGTCAAGTATCCTCATTTATTTCAGTCTACAGGTACGTACCTGAGCTGAATTCGGGGACCGAATTTTATAAGGTGGAGAGAATGTAATACCTCATATTTAAGTTAGGGCCTATTAGTTATTTAACTAAATAAATAGAATTAAAAAAAATTAAAAAAATAAAACAAGACCAAAAAAAAAGAAATAAAACAAGGGATTAGGGCCAAAGCCCACTTCGAGGGTAAAGAAGCAAAACGCCTAGGCATTGAAGCAATAAAGCTTCGGTGCTTCGGTACTTCGGCAGAAGCCATTCAAAGGCAAAAGAAAAAAAAAATTGAGTACTTATTTTCAGCGAAGCGACTGCAGATCAGAGAAGAACAAGGTAAACTATTTTTCTCAATCCCTAACTTACTGATAGTTATTATTTCACTAACCAAGGGATAGAAACAACACTAACAGCTTAAGGCATTCCTATATAGCAAAATAATGAATTCTTATTAGATTGAATAAAGATTCTTTTAATTTATACCAAGCACTCTAGTGTACAGATTAGGAGTATTTGGTACTAGTACTAATTGATGAGAAGAACATAGTTTTTATGCAAACAAAATAAAATTCTTCTTTTCTTTTACAAATAGTTGTATTAATCAGGGTGTAAGAACAAATAGAGAACAAGCTACAGTTCCTATCTATATTTGTGCTACTTAAGTGATTGACAAAGAATTAATGCTTAGTTCCATAAGAATGAAAGCAGGGGAGTTAACTAGATTTGAAGGATTGGACCAACTATGTTGGTAATTCACGAAGTTAATACATAGATTGGTTTTGTTACAAGTACGTAGTTGAAGAAGTCGAATGAAGTGCTCGAGGTGACGCGTTTGGTATTTCTGCACGAGTACTGTGAGTAGTAATCTTACCGCAATTTGTGTTTTCATAACTTGCATGATTTACACATAATTTTTAATATGAATATGTTACCGACTATTTTGAGTTGCATGTGGGACAAGTCTTTTACTCGATATGATACCGAAATAGTTATTTGAGATGAATACCGTGGTTTTAAATATTTTCGTTGTCACTAGATCTGTTTTACCGTTACTTGAATTTACTGTTATTGAAAGGAAATTATATGATTTGATAAGAACCGAAATGCCCTATATTGTTTTAAAATAGTTTCTACGAGTATCTATACGGATTACTGAGACAAGTATAAATGGGAGTAGACATTGAGGGATCCCGTAGCTAACGGCGGGTTCGTTAGACCTGGTGCACCTTGTAATTACCGATTACCGTTATAGCCCTCGCTAGTGGGAAGGTAGAACTAGCATACCGTTACCGATTTCCCTCGAGTAGGGACTACCGTTATATTCGACTTCTTGCAAAGAAGTCCACAGTTATGCCGATTACATGATCCGTTCATTGAAACCTCCCAAAATATGAATATTGATATTATACAGTGGCTACCGAGCTTATTACAGAATTGTCAATCGTATTATACTACCAGAAAAACATGATGAGACTGAAAATTATTTATTGTTTCTGAAAGGGCATTTTGATGTTATTTTCTGTTTGAGACACTCGCATGTTTTCTGACTTGTCCCCAATAAAAACGGTCGTGGTTAAGTGTTATTACTCACTAATCTAGCGACTCATTCCCCGCTAATTTTTTTTACAGAGACAGCAGTTGACACATGCGAGGGTTTCGTTAATTGGAGCGCACAGGTTGATATTTCTCGATGAGCCTCGCACTTGTTCGCGTGGGCAGAGATTTTGTTTATTGTTGTGGTCTTTTCATTGAACTCTTAGAGTCGCTCCATAGTCATTATTTTAGTGTCATGAGTATTCTTTTGTTATTATAGTCTTATGTTGAGTATCGTTCTCATTTATCAAAGTTGGAGATAAATTAGTATTTCTAGTGGTTAGTCAGTGGTTTAGTTATGGTAGAGACTTGTATTGGTTAATTGACAAGTTGTCAATTGTTTGGTATGATATTAGGATGTTTGGTTGTTGATTTGAGACAGGAAAATTTTTGGGATGGTCCAAAAACAGGGGAAACTCTGTCCGATTTTCTGTAAAGTTACCGATGAGGCTTACTTGGGAGCACTTGCTTCTAAGCGCCGGTCACAATCCTAAATTGGGTCGTGACATATACATTGATTATACACAATTATACACATATAGTATATAAATTATGCATATATTATACCTCTACATGCTATATTTCGTTAAAGCAGTTGGGTGGGCGGCTATTTGGATTAATACGTATAGTATAAAAAACAAGTGTTCATTTAAACGAACCTAGCTTGGCCCAATTTCATGTGTTCATTAAGGTGAACTATCTGGGCAATCCATCTCAAACCAACACTAAGTAAAACTTCTAAGGAAAAATGATATTATATAGCCGCTCTTAAAATAATAATCGAAAAAATGTATATTTTTTTGTATATATATACATTCTGCATGTTATATACAAATTTTATACACTTTTTCGGCTATCTAATATAAATAGTTTCTGGCGCGGGCTAGAAGTAATAATACCCCAACTTCTAAGCCATCTCGAACCGATACTAAGTAAAACTTTTAATCTATCCAGTTTTCAATTTACTTTTTCTTTTCCTGATAAAATGTTTTCAAATTTATAAATCAAACTTTGAGTGAATTTTAAACTGTTTAATTTCTGATACCTTTGCAGACAAAATATGGGACCAAAGCAATGGAGATGTGGCTCTTGACTTTTATCATCGCTACAAGGTAGGGAATATCTAACTTAACGTTTGTTAGTAGTGATGCCACAAAAAAGAGGATATATATTTATTTATTCTTTTAGAAAATTTTAAAAGTTGTTTGAAATATTAATTTCTGCTTGTCTGCAGGAAGACATAAAACTAGCGAAATTTGAAGGACTTGATTCGTTTAGATTTTCTATTGCATGGTCAAGAATTTTACCCCGTAAGACATAGTAACTCAGAATTTATTCTACTTCAACAGAAATTCGCAGCAGAGAATGTAAATAAATTGATATCGCTCTCTTTATGACTTGCTGCGTAACGTTGCATAAGTATATGCATATTATAATTTCAATAATCCAATAATCAATTACTCCCTCTGTCTCAATTTATGTAGAGATGTTTGACTCGGAGTTTAAAAAAGAAATTAATACTTTTGAAAAGTATGGTTTAAAATAACTATATATATTTGTGTGGCTGTAAATCAATTCACTAAGAGTAAAGTAAGACTTCTAAAGATAAGTAATTTTTAAATAAGGAAAAAGAGCATTCTTTTTTCTTTTTTTTAGACTAACTAAAAAGGAAAAGAGTCACATAAATTAGGACGAAGGGAGCATTAATATGCAAGAGAAATCATAACTAAACAGATAACATTTGAAAGAAAATACGTACACTTAATTGCATAAGTATAATTACCTGAAAGAATTTATTTGGTTTGTGATTTTTAGAGGGAAAGCTAAGTAAGGGAATAAATTGGGCTGGTATTGACTTCTACAATCGCGTCATCAATGAGACTATAGCGCAAGGTCCTCCCCCACCTCTCTCTCTATATATATATAATGGATAGAAGTAACATTTGCATTGTAGGTATAAAACCTATGGTAACACTTTTCCACTGGGACGTACCTCAAGCCCTAGAAGATGACTATCTTGGGTTTCTCAGCCCTAAAATTGTGTAAGTGATCTTCAAGTTATTTAATTAGCTATCGTTTGGACGTAGATTTATTTGAAATTAGAAAAAAGAATTTTTGAAGTTATGTTGAAAAATAATTTTTGGAAGTTGAAGTTGTGTTTGGACATGCATTTTACTTGAACAAAAGTTGAAGCTTTGTGAGTGGAAGAAAAAATTTCATCTAAAAACTATCCTAAACCAGTTTTTGAAAGAAAAAACAATAGTTTTTGAGAACTTGAAATATTTTTTCAAAAACTGATCATATTCCACATACAAACAGCATTTTCAAATAAAAATAGAATAAAAAAACCCAAATTTTATGGCTGAACGGATCAAAAAGCTTATACTTCTTAGTATATGTTTGTTTACTTGTTAAAGACAAAATGCCAGTCCATCTCATTTCATTTGATTTAATCTGATCTATATTGTCAGGGGTGAATACCTAGACTTCGTGGAAATATGTTTCAAATATTTTGGAGATAGAGTTAAGTACTGGTTAACAATGAATGAGCCATATATTGTTTCAATAAATGGTTATGACCTGGGAAAATTTGCACCTGGTCGCTGTTCGGCTTGGAGGAATTATTGCTCAACTGGTAATTCTGGGACTGAGCCTTATTTAGTTGGACACCACTTGCTTCTTGCTCATGCTTCTGCCACCAAGTTATACAGGCAAAAATACCAGGTCAGTTAAGGCCATTTAGTTGTCGTTAAACACGAACCCATAAACTTCAAATCATGGCTCCTCGGATGGCTACGCTATTAATCATTCATCTTTACAAATTGCTTTGCTATTAATTTGAATTAATATAATCTCATGTGATAAGTGGGAAATCTTTTATGCTGCAATTAAATAAAAATTCACATATATTTCATGATGATAGTTGCTACAGTAAATTCTTTTTATGACGGAATTATCTTATTCTTTTTCTCAATTTTTATGACACGCACAGGCTAAACAAAAGGGTAAAATAGGAATTGCACTAGTGTCTCATTGGTTCGAGCCTAACTCTATGAAATCAGAGGATGTTAGAGCATCCAGAAGAGCTCTTGATTTTATGCTCGGATGGTAAGCAGAATTTCTGAAAAAATGGCGCTATCACAATATTTAAATGTTACTTTTTATTAACTTTGCGTCTTACTATTTTTCAATAATTTGTCATTTGAATATTGATGAAAATTGGTTAATAGGTTTTCAATAAATGTTTTTTTTTATTAACAGCCTCTCTGCCCCATCGGGGTAGGGGTAAGGTCTACGTATACACTACCCTCCCCAGACCCCACTTAGTGGGACTTTACTGGGTCGTTGTTGTTTGTTGTTGTAGGTTTTTGCATCCATTGGTTTATGGTGATTATCCTGAAAACATGAAAAGAAGTGTTCGGACGCGTATACCAAAATTCACCCCAAAGGAAAAGCACTTGTTGAGAGGGTCGTTTGACTTCATTGGATTAAACTATTACACATCACAATACGCAGCTCATCATTCTACTCCACCTAATCATGTGAACATGAGTGCCTCAGCTGATAATCAAGTTAATATAACAAGTAGGTGTTCGTATAATATTTCCATCAAATTCTTTTACGTACTTCCTAATTAATGTTGAATTTGATGTTGTAATTTTGACAACTAAGCCCATTTGACCTTTTAAATTTTTCTTTTTCTTTTTTGTTAGCTTCGAGAAACGGAAAATTGATAGGTGATTCAGTATGTTCTCTATGAATTGTATAATATTTCCATCAATAACTCATGATTTATGTCAATAAAAATAAATGTAAATACAAATAAACAGTGTGTGCGCACGCGAGCATGTAGTTTATGTTTTTTTTGTCTCATTTGATTTTAATCATTTGTAGACTGGTTTAAGTTCGTTCTCTGTTGTTCCATGGGGACTTCAAAAGCTTCTTGTTTACATAAAACATCATTACAAGAATCCAATTGTTTACATCACCGAATGCGGTAAGCCAACTAATTTATTGAGGAATTTACGTCTAATATTAGTTGCTACTACTAAAATCTTTGGTATTGCTTACATTTCAGGATTGGTAGAGTTTAATGTTACTAAAGTTGAGGAGGTGGTCAACGACACTCAGAGGGTGGATTTCTATAAAAACCATATTTTGGCGATCTACAAAGCAATCAAGTGAGTACCTCTAGTTTTGTTTTAATAGGACCTTGCAAATGAATAACCGTTATTTCGTTACTTTCATTTTAAGAAAGATTTATTGAAAATATTCATTCGGATAAAATTAATATATTTTTTTCTTTATTTGGCCGTTCTTCTTTTTTCTTTTCTTTTATCAGGCAGGGAGTAAATGTTAAAGGTTTCTACGCATGGGCTTTTCAAGATGATTTTGAATGGAATAAAGGATACACACGGAGATTTGGCATCAACTTCATAGACTATAAGGATAATCTCAAAAGATACCCAAAGCTTTCTGCTCTCTGGTTTAAGAAATTCCTTCTCAAGTAGAGCTTTTGTGACTATATTTCCTCTGTGTAAAATCTACAGACATGTTGCTCTTAATTACTTTTTTTTTTTAATTTAAAAAGTACTCTAGTAGAAAGCTTTTACAATATCTTGTATTAGTGTTGTTTGATGTTCCCCTTCTTTCGTATTTATTTTCCGTCAATAAAATTACTCCATGCTCTTTTGGAGATATTACGATATTATATATGTTGATACTCAATTTTCTCGTGCCATCTTATTCAGCTTTCCCTAGCTGCTCTTCATATTATTTTTTAGTACTATTTACATGGAATTTATCATGTTATCACTCTTATTATATGTTTAAAATAGCAATTTTTCCATTCATTATTGCTTTGTAGCATTTTAAAATCATTATGACAGTAGATTGATATCAAATAATTTTTTAAATATATTAGTATAAGTATTTTGATAAATAAGTGATTTAATTTAGTATTTTACAAATATAAGGTAATTTAAGCATTTTTTGCATTATTTACAATAATAGCATATGTTATTATAATTAATTGCATATTTTTATATTTTTCTTGTTCAAATAATATTTTTATATTTTTATATCTCAGCTCAGTATATTTATATTAAATAATTCTATAAAATAGATCTTTATATCTTTATTTAATATTATTATAAATTATTTAAATTTTAATTATAGGTATTTTTGAAAACCAGCCCAATATGGGCTAAAAGTCGTAAAAATTGCACGGGGCGCCCTATTTCGGCGCCCCTTTTTAACCTGTAGCCGCTTTGTCTTTCTGTTTGCACCCGTACCCACTTTTTAAAAAACTTCAGCTTCCCTTTCTCCTCCCCCTCTCCTTCTTCATTTTCTCATTGTCTGGAAACACAACTCCGTGAGGACTGAGGAATGATATGGTCATACCATTGATCAGAAAAAGGCACCAATTTTTATCCAACAAAAAAACAGCAACACGAAAATCAAATATGTTGTAATATAGATAAAACATAGAAACCGTAAAGAAAATGGAGAAACTGATCATCAGCGATCAGAGATTCAAATGTTAAAAAGAAAAGTTTGCGAAAACGAAATAACATAACAACAAAGCATTTATATTTGCAATAAAAACAGAACGCAAAATCGGATGCATTAGATGATCATAATATAGTTAATTAGATGTAACTGTATCTTCTTGGTGTCCTGAGCTGAAGTTAATTAGACAAAAACTTCAGCTCTATAGCTGAAGTTTTTCAGTTACAACACAAAAACTTCAGCTCTAGAGCTGAAGTTTTCTAGTTATAACATAGAAACTTCAGCTCTATAGCTGAAGTTTTTCAGTTACAACACAAAAACTTCAGCTCTAGAGCTGAAGTTTTCTAGTTACAACATAGAAACTTCAGCTCTAGAGCTGAAGTTTTCCGGTTACAAAGACGAAAACTTCAGCTCTAGAGCTGAAGTTTTCCAGTACAAAAGAAAAACTTCAGCTCTAGAGCTGAAGTTTCCCGGTTACTAAACAAAAACTTATAAAATAAAACTTCAGCTCTAGAGCTGAAGTTTTTATTTTATAACTGGCAAACTTCAGCTCTAGAGCTGAAGTTTTCCGGTTACAAAGACAAAAACTTCAGCTCTAGAGCTGAAGTTTTCCAGTACAAAAGAAAAACTTCAGCTCTAGAGCTGAAATTTTTATTTTATAACTGGCAATTCAGCTCTAGAGCTGAAACTTTTATTTTATAACTGGCAAACCTCAGCCCGGTTACTAAACAAAAACTTATAAAATAAAACTTCAGCTCTAGAGCTGAAGTTCGCGAGGTACAAAACAAAAACTTCAGCTCTAGAGCTGAACTTCAGGCCCGGCTACTAAAATGCTGAAGTTTTGTGTGATTGCCTTTGCTACTTCAGCCCCGTGTGCTGAAGTTATGCGAAAAAGCGGGTACGCTTGCAATTTTTTTTGCAAAGCGCGCACAGGTTAAAATGTGGCACAAAAAGCGGGTATAGATGCAAATGCCCCCTAAAAGTCGGACAAAAAAGGGTCCAACAAGCCAACGCTCAACCCCCCTCAGGCCCAAAGACGAATGACTCAAGACCCTTGACCTGCCCGTGACCCGCTTAGCTTTTAATCTAAGCCGATCATTTTTCTTGATCAAATGGCGACCATCTCTCCCCCTCTTTCAAATTTAAGCCCTCTCCTAAACTGTAGCCTCACTATCCCAAATCTGCTGTCCCTATTTTCTCGGAAGACATAACCCCAAATCCCTTCTCCCTATCATTCAAACCCTCGGCGACTCAAAAATTTTTCCCATTTTTCTTTTTCTTTTTGTGTTTCAATTATGGATTCAGTTGCCTTTTTTGGATCTTCGTCTCTGGTACTCAATCGTATAAGGCAAGTAAGGATCCTTCAAATTGGAGTTCTATTCAGCCCCGATCAAAAATACCTAACATGATATAGTCAATACAAAGCTGGGAAAGGCCGATTCGTATATATCTTCGGATTCTTCGTTGATTTCTTTTCTTGATTATGATTTATTATTTTTTAGATCTAATTCGAGTGGATTCTAATTTGCATGTAATTAATATTTCGTTTATTTGCTTAGACCTTGCATATACTATATAAAACCCTCCCTATTTCCTCTTTAGGTCAGACGTGAAGACCCATATCTCTCTCTCTCCCACTGTCTCACACTTATTGTTTTGATCTGCACTTGAATGTGGTTATGTTAGAAAGTCCTCTATTGATTCTTGAAGTATTTCTGAATTTCATATTTGTTCTTGGGGTTGTATTTGGTCGGCTGAAAGCCAAAGCCTTCTGGATCTTGTTCGTTGATTTTCTTCGGCACAAGTTTTGATATGTAGAGGGTTGCCCCGCAATTGCACTAGATAGCTTGGACAACTTTGTTGTAGCTCTCTGCATCCAGTTGTGGGCATAGGAACCACCCTTAGAGCTGATGCAGGCAATGGAGCAGGGGCTGATGGTGGCTCAAGAGCATTGTCTCTAGCAATAGTGGAAGGCTCAACTGACGAGGAAGAGATATTAGAGAGACCGAGAGCCGCTACTACAGGCTCATCAGACTTGCTAGTAGCACTGGAAGGCTGGCTGCTCTTCTTTGGGTTCCTGGGTTCTTGCAACTTGTATAGATCAAAGGGGCCAGTTGGCTTAGTTTTCATATCAAATGGTCTGGACTCCACTTTGGCATCTGTCAAACACTCTGTAATGGTGCTGGGGTAGGGGTAGGGAATGTTACCCTGTTGTGCTACCAAAGTGATGTTGGACGACATCAAGGCACCCACAATTATTAGGTACACGACCATGATAGAAGCCACAAGCACTGTTCTCTCCACGGTTTCTTCCTATATATCACACGGTTTTACGAAATTCGGGTTTGATATTCATTTCAAATGCAATTTCCTTGACAGAAATCATAGCAGTTACAAATTCTTTGTTAAAGAAAGAATAAAACATTTTCGCTTCACAGGGCTTTTTTTTAACTTATATATAGCCTATTAGGTGTAACAAAATGTGAGCCCCCACAAATATGGAGTTGGGGGTCTAAAGCAGTTGTTTTACCTGCTTTTGGGAAGGGTCGCCCCCGTATGTATTTGTCTACATATATTACATATGGTATTACTTAGTTCATGAGAGATTCCAACAGTAAATCATTTAAAGAAAGTACTCAATAAATAAAAAGCAAATTATATCAGTAGAGATATTTAGATAGTGTATAATATAGAAGGCAAATTGTATGAAAACGTACTTGCTTAAGAAGTAAAATTACAGCATTGGTTGCATGCCAACTGTTTAAAAGGCCCACAATGACCCAAATTACGCAATACCACTTTCACAACTGGAATGCTTTGTTTTTTTGCTTTTTTTTACGGTTAGAAATAAATGAAGTTAAGACAGAGTTGTTGAGAAAGAAACAAGCGTAAGGGTATTCAAAGATAACCCGGATGAAAATAAATCTCTCCTTATTGTCTTCTTTTTTGCATACAGCATAGTTATCCAAATAATTTTATGAACGTCGAATTAATTTCGAAAGCAAAATAATTGCAAAAGAATATCGGAATCTACGATCAAACAAAATATTGGGAGTGATACTTCAGAGCCATATAGTATAAATCAATAATCGAATAGAGAACATCGTTTTCATAGGTTGTTGATGAAACATTCAATATTCCTTTTTCTATATTTTAGTAATTCACTGTCAACACTTAAAACATTGCCATGGAATTGACCAAGTACTTTTTATCAAGTAGTGGTGGAAGGAAGACAGAGAAGCTCTCTAACATCATTGCTAGCCATATTCCACGTTGTAGAGTTAGGTTATTGAGTAAATCCATAATTCAGTGGGAGGCTGACAAAGGAAAAAATCAAAGTGTTAAAGGACATGAATATTCTCGCGAATTAGCCTATCGTTTTCACTAAAAAAAAAAAAATTAATTGTAGATAATTGAATAATTAATTATGGATACATGGAAGATGATAACTTGTTTTGAAAATAAAGAGAAAAGCTTGAGATCAAAGGAGGTGGTAGTAACACAACTTTCTTCCACATAAAATGATGAAACTAATCAGACGCACTTCGAATATATATATATATATATATATATATATATTGTGAGGAGCCAAAGGGCATCACCTGTTTTAAATTAATTCTGCGCTTGCGAGGCCTTGAAAACCTCATTTAGAGTCGCCTCGATTTGCGTGCGCAGTCCAGGCGTGTAACCAAAAAGCTTAAATATGAATTCTATGAGAAAAATGCTAATTTTTGATATTAAAATGAAAAAATTTGACTTCGGTCAATATTTTGGGTAAACGGACCCGGACCCGTAATTTGATGGTCCCGGAGGGTCCGTAGAAAAATATGGGACTTGGGCGTATGCCCGGAATTGAATTCCGAGGTCCCAAGCCCGAGAAATAAATTTTTGTGTGAAATTGTTCTCTGGAAATGATTAAGGAAATTGGAAATGAAATTTGATTAGAAGACCATGCTATCGGGCCCGTATTTTGGTTCCGGCACCCGGTACAAGTCTTATATATGATTTAAGCACTTTCTGTAAAGTTTGGTTGAAAACGGACGCCGTTTAACGTGTTTCGGACTTAAAATGGAAATTTGATGTTTTATGAAAATTTGGAAGACATCAAGGTTTCTGAGGCTTAATTCGATGTTTATGATGTTATTTTGGCGATTTGATCGTGCGAATATGTTCGTAAGATGTTTTTGAGGCTGTGTGTAAACCTGGATTAGAGTTTT